CTCCTCTGCCTGCCGGCTCTGGTCTCATAAGTTTCCATGCCCTGCTGCCAACTTGTAATCACAGAGGCAGCATGTAGCTGGGTAGGAACGTCACAGCCCACTCCGTACGTGGGTGTATGCTTTGCAAACTGAAACAAAGCTTGGAAGGTCTTGTTGCAAGCCTTTCAGCCTTGACAGTGGTTGTGCCCAGACCACCAGGAGCCTGGAATTAAATACCCTCGGATCCAGTTCTCTGCCATTAATGTTATCAACTTCATCAAGTACTTCCTCTTTGAGTGGTGTCTGCAGAGAAATAAATAAATCAAGCTCTTCCAAGTCCTGTTCCTGTCCGGATCCTGAGTCAAAAGTAAAATCCGAGTTGGATTATCCAGAGCACTGTCTCCCTCTGTCATTGTTCCCAAAGATGTGGGCAGGGACAGAGAGTGAAATCTCTCCAGGACATTACATCAGTTCCCCTTTTACCCTTGGCATGAAAGTTCTTCCTCCCATAGTCCTCCCAGACTTCCTCAGGCTTGCCATGTGTGCACACCCAGGCACTGAGCCTTGAAGCCCAGAACATCAAAGAAAGCCTGCAGGTAACCAGACTGCTGGCCAACGCCTGTGTCCGTTTTGAAAATTGTAAGACAGGAAATGGATCCAGGAAATAGGATTTTTCAATACATGGTCTTCATCATCCTTAAGTATTTTTAAACTTTAATAAACTTTTAAGTAAAGGGAGACATTTTATAAGTGGAATTTAGAAGCAAGCTGAACCTTCAGAATGCAGCTATATTCAGTCTGCTTACCCTGATCATATTCAGTGACAACTGAAAAGTGAACCAGGGATGCAAGGTAAATTCTTTTTGTGCACAACAGAATGCAGATCCATATTAGCTAGGAAAAGAAAACTTGCCTCATCCCCAAAAGATTGCAGATTATTTCTATCACTCTGAAACTCCCAGCCTTAAAGTTAACCATAATGAGCACCAAGGGCTAATGTACCCTGAAAGCATGGATTTTCATTTGGGTTAAAGTGGGGAAGTTAGTCTTTATCATGTCAACCTGTGCCCTTGCAAGGCTGGTTAGCACTTTTTTCAAAAGACCTTTTTATAGTGGAAATATGGAACCTATATAAAAGTGGAGAATTGTATGATGAATCACTGTTACCCACCAACTTCCATGACAACTCATGATAAGTGTTGTTTCTTCTGTGTCCTACCTACTCTCTGCTTCATTGTTCCAGATTATTTTAAAGTAAATCCCAAATCTATCGTTTTATCTGTAAATATAGCAATAGAGGTCTAAAAAGACAAGGATGCTCCAACTATCTTATAAATGTTTTTACAGTTTGTCTGAATCCAAGTAAGGGTATATTGCAAATGGTCGATGTGTCTTTTAAGTCTCTTTCAACCTATAGGTCTTTGTCCACATTTTTCTTGCGCATATTTCTCTCTCTCTCTCTCTCTCTCTCTCTCTCTCTCTCTCTATATATATATATATATATATATATATATATATATATATATATATAACTTTCCCCCTGAACATACTATATCCTGGTTGCTTTCTCTATCTTTGGTTCATCAACTTGACATGGTGTGGTTGGGTGTAGCTTTCATTGTATTTATCATGCTTGGTATTTTCTGAGCTTTTCGGATCTTTAAGTTGTTGTTTTTGCCAAGTGTGTGATCATTATTTCTTCCTTTTTTGGTCCTCTTCTCTGTGCACTTCTCCTTGGACTACAATATTCCATGTGTACTAGAGCACAAGCCACTGAGGATCTATGTGCTTTTCTGGTTTTTGGCTTTTATTGATCTATCTTTAGATTTACTAACTTTCTTCTGTCATCTCCAATCTGCTATTAATTCCATCCAATCTACTCTTTCATGTTGTACTTTCCAGTTCTTGAATTGTTTTTACCATTTTTGTCTCTTCTGACACTCTCCATCTCTTGTCACTCATTATCACAATCATATCCATTGTTTGACCTTAGAAGAACTGCTTTAAATCCTTCTTTGCTGATTCCAACATCTCGGTGATCTCAGGGTTTGCTGCTTTTGACTGGCTTTCCTCTTGATGATGGGCCTCATTTTTCTGTTTCTTTGCATGTCTAGAAAATCTTCACTGGATACTGACCATTGTAGATAATGCAGTGTAAAGACTCAAGATTATGTGCTATTCCTCTGAAGAGTATTGACTTCTCAGCAGAGAATTAAATGACTAGCTAGTAACTTTGAATTTGTGGAGGCTTGATCTTACATTTTATTTCAGTCTATTTCAGTCCTTAGGCAAATTTGGAGCAAAGCCTTTAATCCCACAGTGTGACAGATCTGGGGTAATGAATAGCCTGTGGTGTTTACACAGCCTTTGTTGATGAGACGCAAACTTTGTACTGTGTTTGCAATACAGTGACCAGTAGCTGAGATGCTGCTCACAGCTTTGAGTCATAACTGTTGCTTTTTACTGAATTGCTTAGCATCTCCTCAGCACGTGTATTGTCCAGGAGCGGGATAAGAATTTTGAGGGACTATATGTGTCAATTTAGTGGCTACTCCCACTGAGCCTCTCTCCTTCCTGGGATTTGCTTTCTCAATGTTTCGGCCATTCACGCAGCTCCAAACTCAATGCTCTGACATTTCAAGGAATATTCTGTGCATCTTCTATCTGCCCTGTGCTACATGGACTAGAAAGAACCTTCAGTGAGGAGAGCTGTATAGATTTGGATCTCACTGTGTCCTGTCCCAGGCCCTTCCTTCAAGAGTAAAATTGTTTCCTCTAGCAACTTCAAGTAATTTTTATAAATGTATTTTACCCAGAGTATATCATTTCTATCAATAGGAAGGCTATTATTAAAACTGGAATCTCCTCCTTTATTAGAAAAGTGGTAGCCTACTATAACAACTTCACCTTGCTTTTCTTCTCTCATCATAGAGGATATTTAGCAGAATACTAAAATGTTCCTTATTCCATTTTACAGCTGCATTATCCTCCAGTGTTTAGAGATACGCTATAAATTATTAACCCAGTAGCCTGTTGATAGCTATACCAGTGATCAAGCACATTTAAATTCATGGCAGCAGGTTATGCAGTAGTTACAGAATAAACCCTTGCCTTCAAGGAGGTGATCTTTTGGTGATTGTGACAGTATTTCTTTTGCTTACTGTTTCACATGATAGGCGAGTTCTCGTGGAATCCCCATTTTCCTATTAAATAACCCTGTGTAAAGCTTTAAGTAAACTTCAGCTTCATCTGTTTACTAGCCCTATCAGGTCCTCAGTCTCCCTTAATATATTCTTCATAAAGATACTGTCATAATGGGTGAAGGTGGTATCTCGGACTTGCATGCTCTAAATGGGTTCTGCCATACGCCACATAAAGACAAAGCATCCTCTTAGTGTGAAAGAGCTTTAGTAGGATAGTATGCATAGTGAAGAGAAGAAAGGATCGTAGTTTCCTATTAAAACACCCAAAGGAACCTATCCCTTGGTGAGTAAATGCCCAGCCAGACAGGGTTGGCCCAAAACTGTGGCCTGAAAACTTGCCACAAGTGTAAGGCACCTTCTGCCAGGGAACTATAGGAAAGGGGCAGAAGGACCAGGCAAACCTGAGACTAAAGGAGCAAAATCAAAGTACAAATCAAGGTAATGGTGGCCATTTTAACCCACCCCCCATGGGTCTCTTCCAGTTGTCTCTCCCTGTCTCAGCTCCATGTGTCTCCTCCTTTGCCTCCAAGTCCCTGGTGCAAGTCCGAAACTGAGAAGCAAGTGCACCTTCTTCTCACCTCTCTGCTCCCCATGCCTCCTCCAAGTCTTCCTTCCTCCTTGTTGAGACACGTTCTCTCTGTGTCCAAGTCTCCTCTCCAAAATCTTTTTCTTAACTTTTCCTACCAACTCATCTCCCCGCTTCATTCACTGGAGAGGAAACCTGGAACCGCCCCTTTTTGTGGAGGTTACACTGAACACCTGGACAAGTCTTTGGCCAGAACAAGACCAGTGAGTGTGCAAGCCCTTTTGCTGAGACAGCTCTGGGAACAGATGTGACCAGAGCAACTTCACTATGACCAGTGCAGGGCCCTATAAAAGCTCCATTTTCATCGGTCTCTATCCGTCCCACCCTTTGCAGGGCCTCCCACAGAGCATAGGCTGTGTACACTTGGGTGGCATCCTTGCTCGGATATCACCGGTTTGCAAGTTCAAGTGGAATAGGACGGAGATATCACTCGGGGTGTCCGTTCCTCCTCCTCACTTCCCTCTGCCTGTCTCAGAGTATTTGTAGGGCCTGCGCACTTGCAAACAGGAGTTCCTAAATGTTCTTTCAAGTACAAGATTGTCATTCTGCCAACGAGGGACACTTCATGCTCAGGGCAGGTTTTGACATGACTTTTCCCTCAGTTTCTACATAAAGTGGCAGCTATTGTACTGAGCACATAGGTTCTAGAATCCAACCGGGGCCTAGTTCTAATCCCTTTATACTGGCCGTATGACCTTGGGTAGGTGCTAAACTTCTTTATATCTTTATTTTGGCAGTATCTCCCGCTTCAGTGTTGTAAGTCTTAAACAATAGAATCTATATCTAAGATGGAGTAATTATGTAATCATTGTTGTCATAATCATTAATATCGACAGCGACTTGTGGAGGTAGAGAATATGAAAATGTGGTTATGAAAATAGAAGTCAATAAAAGCTTCTGGAAAGAAACCCTTAGGGGCCCTGAAAGCCACACCGAAGTGTCAAGTAACAAATAGATAAAGAGGGAAAATTTGGCTTCATGGTGTTTATAAGCCACTAGCAGGTGATTAATGGAATGCTTGTGGACATTCTTAGCCGGGTCCGGCAGTAGGAAAAGAATTTGAAATATGTGCACTCGAATGTTTTCTAAGCAATGGCAAAGACACGCTGCCTCCCGGGAGAAGGGCGTGACATGGAACATACCCAGCCCCACCGTTTGCCACCTTTAAACCACAGCAGGTCCCTCCTGACTGCTCACCCCAGTCTGTGATGGTCTTTCCCTCTGCTCCACAGATAACTGTGTCCAGAGGCCCCCAAGGCCGTCCGTGGAGAGTGTGCACCACAACCCCCCCACCATTGAACTGTTGCACCGCTCCAGGTCACCCATCACCACCAACCACCGGCCTTCTCCCGACCCCGAGCAGCGGCCCCTCCGCTCCCCCCTGGACAACATGATCCGCCGCCTCTCCCCGGCCGAGAGGGCCCAGGGCCCAAGGCTCCATCAAGAGAACAACCACCAGGAGCCGTACCCCCTGTCCGTGTCTCCCATGGAGAATAATCACTGCCCACCATCCTCGGAGTCCCACCAGAAGCCCTCCAGCCCCCGGCAGGAGAGCACCCGCGTGATCCAGCTGATGCCCAGCCCCATCATGCACCCTTTGATCCTGAACCCCCGGCACTCGGTGGATTTCAAACAGTCACGGCTTTCCGAGGACGGGCTGCACCGGGAAGGGAAGCCCATCAACCTGTCGCATCGGGAGGACCTGGCCTACATGAACCACATCATGGTGTCTGTCTCTCCGCCCGAGGAGCACGCCATGCCCATTGGGAGAATAGCAGGTGAGTGAGCCTCCCCTCGCGTCACCGCTTCAGCCTGGGGATGTGCAGGGGGACCTGACAGGGCTGGGTCTCTCCTTGGAGCCTTTCAGCTAGCTCACACCAGCCCAATTAGTGCCCTCAAAGGCTCTGCCAGGGCAAGCGGAGGCTTCTGCCTGGATGAGGCAAAATCCCTAATGGGCTAGTTAATGAGCCACTGGGATGGAGTAGTTAATGAGCCTCAGAAATGTTCAGAAACAAATGTCCTACGTCCAGCATACAAGGAGAGTCACATCAGAATCATGGCTAAGCGAAAACATTTAAAATAAAAGGTTTATGAGCATGTTAATGGCCCTGTCCTGAAGTTTCCAGCAGCTAATTAATGACCAGGCCCAGCATAAAGAACCTTTGTCTCAGATTCAGGCCTGTAATTCCATCCTCCATGTAGCCTTCACCTTGGGAGGCGGTAGGAGAGGAAAATTGAATGGTGGGGTAGCAGGCAGGTACTGTGAGCCATCTGCACTGGGGAAACCACTCCCGAATTCCTTGGCTTTTATGATGACAAGCCCAAATTTGCTTACCTAAGAAGGGAAACCATTGAAAAATTCTACATGTTGTATTTTTGCTAGGCCACCTATCATTTACATGAAGTCATTCTCCAGAATGCAAGATTAGCTCTTCCTTAGAGTCTCTCCATTCAAGATGCATTTATTGAGCACCTACTAAGCACAGGTAAATACATTAGGCAGTAGGGGACACAGCTGATCTAGCACTCCTCAAGGAATTTAAAATTTACCACGAGGGACAGATGTGGACATGACTAACGAGAGAGAAAGCAGAATTCAGTAAGTCCTAGATCTCCTTCATTCAGTACCCCAGCACTGCTCGAACACTTACTGTGCTGGGATAATTAAGTGCTATAGAAACAAAGCAACGGGAAGGTGCATCTTGACTGGAGGACCCAGGAAGACTTTGCAAGGAGGTAGCTCAAAGCTGAGAGGTTTATGCTTTTAGTCATGGGCAAGAGGCAGGGGAAGTCAGACCTGTTCAGGGAAGGGGAGAAGTAAGTGCCCCTTCCTCCATGAACTGACACCACAGACAGCAGCCTGAACCCCAGGAAGGAGCGAGACACATTGACCCCCAGGCTACTTCAGTGACCTCCACCTCGACTCAGGTATTTCTATTTAAATCATTTTCTTCTGAATTGCTCTCTGGCCCCCGTGTTGCATCAGAGTTGTTATAATCCACATCGGGAATTTTGAATCAAGAAGCTTAAAAGGCAAGGAAATAAGACTTAGGTGTTTAAGAAACTGAAAAATGAAACAATTTGCTCTGGGATTTGGTGCAAATGATCCCACAGGGCTGGACTTGAAGAAGGGGTGGGGTCTGCATAAAATAAGATGAGCCTTGAGCTGTCTGGCTGGGTGAAGGGTGCCCAGGGGTTCATTATCAGTCTCTCTACCTTTGCCTATCTGTAAGTGTGTTTGTAGTAATAAAAAAAGAAACTGTAGGCCAAGAACAGGGGATAAAGAAGCAGAGCGCTTAGGCAAAATATGTGAATTTCCCTAGAGACTTGGAGAAAGAGGGTCGGGTCTGTTTGTTGCTGTGAATATTATAAATGGCCTGTCTTGTGCTTTCCTGGGGAGACCCTTCTGTCTGTAGGCTGACTTCTTGTCCGGTGTCTTGGTGATTGGTACAACGGTATTGGATGTTTTGCAGAGACTATCTCCTTTATAATTCACAGTACAGCTCTTTTGGTAGCTTTTTACTACTAGATTCATTTTATGCAGAAAAGCCACTCGGACAGAGGACATTGAACCCTTAGAGGCTAAGATCAAATGCGGGCTGGGTGCTGGCTTCGCAGGCCATCATGCCGCCCCCCACTGGCCGCTCTCCATAGTGCTGCCCTCCTGGGCCTGGATCCCCCACCAGACCCATCTTTGCCCTGGACTTCCTGGCTTCTAAAGTGAGCCCATACATCATGATGGTTAAATTATTAGATTTCTGGGGTTATTTTCCTCCTTGTAGGTGTTGTAAATTTTAAAATATTCATCTCTTGAAAATTATGCTATTTTTTAAAATTGTGCTCCTGAATATCAGAATTATTTGGTGATGGATGCTGTCTCATCAGTAAGACGCTCCATGGAATATTGTACAAATCACGTGATGAACCTTGGTGCCTGTGGATGCCCCTTCTATCCCAGGAATGCACAGAAAATGGAAAGGTGTGCTTTTCTTCCCGACTCTAGAAAGTCAAACTATTCATGTAAAGTAACACCAGGATGCACATCCTTGTGGGGAATATATTGTTAGCTCCTTCAGTATGCTAGAATCCCCTAAAATTATTCATTATTAATGTTCTAGTGCTATGTGCAAAAGATTAAAACTCTCCAGACCTGTGTTTTAACTAATCAAGTCCAGAATTAACTGATTTAACTGAACGGCCTTGCTTTTCCCAGGGGTGAGATGAGCAGGTTGGAAAACCTAGTCTCCAGCTCTGAAAGTCTACGCCACCCCCAGTCTTGACTCCAGAACCTACACAGAGCAACCACAGGGGACATCCCTGTCTCCGTAATCTGACCCCTTTGGTATCCTTTTGGATTCCTCAGACCCTTGTAAAATCGATTCCACTTATTGGAGGTGAATTCATTGGGTAATTCCTAGGCACAATGTAAAGTTCTTTCATGACTGAACAGCCATAAAAATCCTTCAAATCCCCATCAAGCAGCTGTTAGATGAGAAAATGGAGTTCCTTCAGCTTTTTAAATAGCACAGTACAGGCAGGAATTGAGGTCCTGCTGAATGTCAGCCACACTGATGAATACCGTGCCCACAGGGGAGAGAGAAGCACCTCCCATGAGTATGGATCAGAGGGCAAAGCCAACATCTTACTCATTACGCTGTAAATTGCTTGGGTACACTAGGATTTCTGCATATAGATCCCTGTGTTTAAGGCACTGAACTGCAGTCCTGGGGGCGGGGGTTTAAGGAGGTGTAAAAGCTGAGCTTGATCAAGAGCTGACTGAGCTCATCGGGTGTACCTGTGGTAGGCGGTGTCTTTGAGGGACTCCCCTTAAGCACTCGCTGTAGGTGAGAGTCGGGTGTAGGGTGTCAGGGAAGGCTGCGTGGAGGCGCTGGCTTTAACTGGGCTCAGGTTACTGCTGAGCAAAGGGCAGCTGGAGATGAGAGGAAAGAAGCAAACCCCAAAGCAAGATAAGGACCACAGTATTTTTATTTCAGGTAGAAATGTCAATCCAAGAGTCCAGATCAGTCAATCCATCATCTTTCATCAATTTTTGTTTTTCTTCACTTTCTAATATCTCTGAAATTGGGATGCATCATACAAGTAAGAGATTGCATGCAAAGTTTTAATGGTTTGCTTAGGTATTTTCCACCTGGTAGAAAAATTCAACTAATGAAGGAAATTTGGTAGGTAGTTGACAGTTTACATCTAGTGGAATAAAGCCTGAAGCTTATTTTTAAAGGTGTCACTTCTTTTTCCAAAGGATAAGACGTGTTCCTGGTTTAACAAGGTGGAATGGCTGCCATTTATAGAGGAGAGTTTAACATAGGACATAGACAAGACTCCTCGTCTCTATTTTTATTGGCTAGACAGTGCTAGATGTAACAATTAGCAAGTTTCGTCTTTCTCTGCTTATTTTCTATGTATGATCCTCAGGAAGACACTGCCAGGGGGTCGGGGGGGAAGGGGGTTGCAGTCTGTCCACCTTCCAACATTTTTCTCAGCCCTTAAAAGCCTTCCTGGTCCACATCTCACCCTGTTTTTATAGCCAGAGTGTACTGGCTGTGAGCACCAAGGGTTGACAGGATTCAGCATTAGTGATGCCAAGTCATGTTTTCAGTATACAGGTGACTCTTGAACAGCACAAGGGTAGGGAAACCCCCTCACCATTCTCCCCCTCGAATTTGAAAGCCCCTATATAACTTTACTTCTCAGAAGCTTAACTACATTTGACCCCTGGTATCTGAGGGGTGTCGTTGTAAGATACCCACCCCCTACCAAAACCTGAGTATACTCAGATCTGGCCTCCACGTCTGCAGATTCACCCAGCTAAGGGTTGCATCCTTGAATGGAAATGCGGACAAAATACCACAGACCATGTAAGGTCAGGACCTGCGTAGGTCAACGCTGTGTTGTTTAAGAATCAGCTCTGTATTGAAATTCATGTTTAGGATGCCATCCCTCATCTCAGCATCTCAAAGGAGGGTTTTTTAATAGATGAGGAATACCAAGAGTTCAGTGTTCTCAACCTTCCAACCAGTGTTCTTCAACCTAGGAGCCTAGAGCAGGAATTGACAATTCTGGCCCGTGGGCCAGATCAGCCGCCACTGCCTGTTTTTGTAAGTCAGGTTTTATTGGCACCCAGCCAGGGCCTTTCCCCGGCTGCTTTTGCAGTGCTGTGCCTGGGTGGAGTGTTTGCAGCAAAGATTGAATGGCCAGCAAACCTAACCTTTACTAAGGGGCGCCTTAGCTCAGCACTGTGCAGCTGTGTGGTCAGCGTGCATAGAATCCGAGGCGAAGGCAGGAACACTGCCCCTGCACTGGAGGGCTTGCCCAAGATACTGGCGCACGTCTGAGACCACGTGGAAGGAACAGCAGCAGGGGATGTAAGACAGGAGAAAAGTTCTGGACTCAGGCTGTCTGCAGACCCAGTCAGAATAGTCAGTCACCATGACATCATTAGCATATGCAAAACCCAGCTAAACTTAAAAGAAAATGGTGCTTTGCATACCTGGAATGATGTGGTTTAATCATTCATTCATGTCTTCAAAACTGTCCCATATCCCTGTGTGCCAGGCCTTTTGCTAGGTCATGGGGACAGCACGGCTAAAGGCCAAGTTTTACGTCTTTGCTGACATCAGCCAGCATCCCTCTTACTTTCTGCTGTCAAGCCCCTTGAGTTCCTGCTTTGGTTCTAACTAAAGACAGCTAAGTGGTAAGAGAAAAATTTAAGTTATTTTCATTTTCTTTTCAAGATCTTCAATTCCATTAAAACCTGAGTCACCAGATTTCCTGTCTGCTTACCCCTTCCTTGCTTCCTGAACGGATTTTTGGATTAAGGGCAAGATTCATTAGGACACTAGTTTATAATCCATTCATAGCTCTTCATGTGTTCCACATAGTGGAGGTTTTGGAGGTCTGCACAGATTTGATTGTTCAAAGTCCAGGACCCACCCAAATAAAGTACTTTAATTTTTTAAAATTTGCCATTGGTTTAGAAAATGATGTAAGTTTCAGGAATACAGCTCCACGTCTTGATAAATGTACATACCACACCCAGTACCATTTACCATTATAAAATTGATCTTTGTGCCCATTCCTCCCACCCTCTCCCCCCCATCTTTCCTTTCTCCTCAGGTAACCAGCAGGAACCCAAAGTCTAAGGGTTCCTTTGGTTTTTTAGTTCATTTGCTTTTCTTTATCTTCTTCCTATGAGTGAAATCATTTGGCTTTCTCATTCTGGCTTAATTCACCAGGGCGATGACCCCTCTGCACTCATAGGTTAGAAAGAGAACAGTAATGGCGCCCACCAGAACAAGTGCCACAAGATACAGTGGTTCCCACCATCCCTGGAGAGAACCCCTACAGCTTGCTGCTATTTTAAGGTTTGCAAATGATTCCCCTTGAAATATGGGTGCTGCTTTATGCTGGTTCCTGAGGCAAATGTATCTTTGTGTTGACCTTTAAGAGGAATCTTTATTCTCTAGAGGTTTGTGTTTCTCCTGACATGAACTCTGCTAGAAGTTTTGGGGTACCTGATGTGTAGCACCAATTTCTTGCTTCTCAGGGAGATGCACCTTAATCGTGGTATCCTTCCCAATCATGGGTCACAGTGGTCCTGCCTCTCCTACCCCAGGTGGCCTTTTTGTTCCTTGTTGTGGAGATTCAGGTCTGTTTCAGAGTGAATTGTTCTGTATGTACTTGTAGATTTGTTGTGTCATGGGAGAAGGTGAGTTCAGAATCTTCCTACTGGCTGTTTTGTACCCAATCTACAATTTCTTTGGCGCATTACTTACCCTGTTTTGTTGCTGAAATTGAAATGCAACAGGGACACTCAACCTCTCCTTGTTGGGGCATTTTGCAGTCCTTCATTTAAGATTCCATTTGGACAGTTCAAACAACATAAAATTGCTTTCTTACAAGCTTTGCTGAAATTTTAACTACCCACCATCATTAAATATTCCCTTATTCAATGACCTGCCCACTCAGATTTTTTTGTACATCAGTTTTGTCCACCATGGGATTTTTTGGGTTTTTTTTTTTTTTTTTTTTTCCATTAGAAACCATGTTGGTGGTGTGTGAATTGCCCATTTTTTCCACAATCTCTGCTCAATGAATTTATATAATGTGTCTCTGGTAAGAGACAGACGTAGGAGTGAAAATATTTCTCCTTAGCCACAGGAAGGGACTTTTACAACGGCTTTTAGCTGTGGATAGCCAAGGCTCTTCACCCAGCAGGAAAGAGAGAGAGAACACTTTCTGCAATTTGAAATTGCCACTTCACTCTGGCTAAATAAACCCTTTTATAAACTTCCTGTCATGGAGGAGACAATCCAAAAATGGACATTTCTTTAAAATACCCACTTGCCTTGATATAGATGGCCCTTTAGTTTTAGAGAGATACACTTAAAATTAATGAACACCTCATATAAAAGTTGTTCACATGTATGTTCAGTTGTTTTGTAAAGGGCAAACTTTTGTTTATTACAAAACTCACCAAACTCTATAGAGTATGAAGTGTCTTTATTGATGAATAGAGAGCATTTGTCTGTGCAGGCGTAGATTTCAGCAAAGCTGAGAAATCACAGGTAGGTCATAGTAACAGCCGCCAGAAGATCAAAGGAATCCTCAGAATAGTTCATATGGTTTGAACTTCAATTATAAAAAAAGAAAAACTTAGGTGGTCAGGCAGTTATGCCAGATGATAAAATAATTTTAACTAGAGAAACCAATCAATAGTGTTAGAAAAGCCTCTTAGGTTCTGAGTTTGAAACAACTTTATGCCTCAAAATTCCTGTTGCTGCCTCCATTAGTAACTAAGTCAACATGTCTTGACTGTTCACATGGCTGAGTAATAACACTAACGTTGGCTTTGCTGGATTAAATGTGATTTACAACGACCAGTTGGCAGCGTGTTTTGGGATATTTTCATATTTATGAGACAAAGTTTGTAAAAATCAAATATTCTTGAAACAGGTAAAATCTATTCTCTGGTAAGCCCTTTGTTTACCCACCAAAGAGCAAATAACATTCTAGATCTTTTTTAGTAAATAGTTTACATAAAAGTCTCAGAAAAACTAGTGTGGTCCCTGCTCCCTGCTGGTTAAAGCTCTTACTCAGAGGAATGGGGTATATTTTTGAGAAGTATTTTATGCCAAGACAGTAAAGTGAAAAGCCTCGTGTGGATGGATGGTGGTGTTTAAGCTCTGGAGTTTAAGCTCCAGAAAGCCCGAAGCTAAGAACTGCCAGTATATTGCTCACCTTCGTATGGGCAACCTTATCTGGCTGTCTTGTATAGTTTGATATAGAGATTTCTGTATTATTAAATACCTCATGATGGACGAAGAGAGGGGACTAGAGAATCACATTCCTCATTGAGATGAGCCCAAGGGTGTCATCAAGCCTCTGTGATCAAATGCTTGTGAGCCTGTAGGGAAAGAACAAACGAATGAGATATAGACCCCCCTGTTTTTCTCATGTACTGATATTTTCTGTGATAATAGTTGGTCATAGCAGATGTGTTCCAGTTGAATAAGACTGTGGAAAATCCAAAGGTATCTGCTGTTTGGTGGTGAGAAACAAACTGCACAATTGAATTATAGCGCAATTCTCTGTTTTTCATTTGTCATAAAATGTTACAAGGAGGTGCCAAGGGAGGTTGAGACACGGCGGATTTCACTGCTTTGCCTAGAAAACTAGAGTCTTCCTAAGATCAAGCTAGATGGTTCTCACTTTGCAATAGGGCGACACTGACATCTCAAGATACTTTATGATACTAGAATTGGTCCCCTTGCTTTTCTCTCCCCTACCTGTGGCAATAAAGAATTCTTGTGGGGGTGGAAGTATCTGATCAGCTTCTGGTAGAATGGGGTGCAGATTCCATGAATATGGTCTCGGTATTTTAAAGCAGAATAAATCACAGATCACATAAATTTTCAGACACAGATCACTGGGGTGGGCAGGTGCTACTAGTAATTTATGGTCATGTGAAGTTCAACGGTAATTCCTTGAAAGATGAAGCCTCCTGGAAATGTCAGTTGTGCTGTGGAGAGAGCAAGCAGGGTCTCGGAGGCTACATTGAGTGGGGTTAACCCTTGCTTTGGGAGTTCTTTACCTGTGAAGCAGCTTCTCTGCAAATAGAAATTGCATCAGGAGGGGGGCTTCAGAGTCACACGGAACTTAGGGTCCCCCACGGGGCTGCACCCCAACCTCCTCATCCACCATATAGGGACAGCAAGGGCACCTCCCTGCTAGGGCGTTGTGGGGTGAGAGGCAGGCTCAGCCCTGTGGCTGCCGAGCGTGCCCAGTCAATGTCACTGCTATTTTCATTACTCTGTAAAGAGGAAGTGGGGTGTTTCCTGTTTCGCGAAGCAGGAGCAGAACCTTGGGAGGTGAAGCACCTTGCCCACGCTCACCTGGCTCAGTTCCCCTGGTAAAAGCCCCAGAGCTGGGCACTTCATCTCTGGGCTGTGAGGGTGTCAGCCCTAAATAGGCTGTCTTGGTTGGACACTCCTCGCCCAGGTGTGCCAGGCTTCACCCCACATGGGAAAGAAGTCCCAGGGCTCACATCCCAGTCACCTCAGGTGTTAGAGGTTAGAGTTGATGTGTGTAAATGACTGGCCCTACGTGGCGGTGATACCTGGCTGGTCCCTCCAAACTGCCGGAATCAGCAGGGGGCACCTGGGCACTGGCGCCCAGCCCTGAGGCTGGAGAACCTAGAGCCGTGACCCCACCGGCAGGCTCTGCTGGGAGAGACGCTAGAGGGAGGGAAAGGAAGTCAGCCTGTGTCCTTAAGAGTCCACAGCTCTGGATTTTTCTATCCCCTGAGCCAGTGATGGAGCACAAGTGCCACAAAGGGAGAAAGTGAGCTGTGGCAGCGGGTTCCTTCCCACTGTGCCCAGTTTCCAGATCGGCACAGAATGCTGCCGTGAGGACATCTGCGTCCTTTCTGAAAATCACGTGGCACATGCTGCTGCCTTTTCTGACATGTTTTAGCCCCCACCCCCGTCTGCCCACCTCTGTCTGCTCTTGTCACCCTCCCCCCCACCATGGATGGCACGCACTGTCTGAGCACCCTTGGGCTCTGTCTGCCAACCTGTTTGTAACCCACTTTCAGGGCCCACCCTCCCATGGTCTGAACGTCTGTCTCTCCGTATCTCTGGCTATGTCTGTCTCTCCATCTGTTTATCTGTTTCTTTGTCTCTCCATCTCTGTATCTGTGTCTCTTTCCCTGTCTCTCCGTATCTCTCCATCTGTATCTCTGTCTCTATTTCTCGGTCTCTGTATATGTCTCTGTCTTTGTTTCTCTGGATCTATCTCTATATCTCTGTCTCTTTTTGTATCTCTAGCTCTCTGTATCTGTCTCACCATCTGTCTCTCTCCCTGTATCTGTCTCACTTTCTCTGTATCTCCATCTCTATCTGTCTCTGTCTCTATTTCTGCCTCTGTATCTCTGATGTTATCTGTCTATCTCTGTTTCTCTAGGTATCTATTTGTCTGTCTCCATTGCTCTGTACATCTGTCTCTGTATGTCTGTTTCTCCATCTGTTTATCTCTCTGTATTTCTGTCTCCATATCTCTATTTTTGTCTATCTTTGTATTTCTATATGTCCATCTCTGTATCTCTGTTTGTCTATCTCTCTGTTTCTGTCTCTTGTCTCTGTCTCTATCCGTCTTTCTGTACTGTTTCTGTTGCTCCATCTGTTTCTGTCTATCGCTCTGTACATCTGTCTCTCTGTACGTGTCTAACTCTATCTCTCGCTGTATCTCTGTCTAGATCTCTGTATCGCTCTATACATCTATCTCTCCATTTCTGTCTCTGTGTCACTCTATACATCTGTCTCTTTGTATCCATCTCTGTCTCTCCAACTGTTTCCCTGTCTGTTTCTCTGTATCTTTGTGTCTATCTCTCCCTCTCTGTATCTGTCTCCCTGTCTCTCCATATCTGTTTCTGTCTCTCCCTGTCTCTCAGTATCTCTGTCTCCATCGCTCTGTACATCTCCGTCTGTATCTCTCTCGTGCTCCAGTTTCAGTGCCAAGGTCACAGCCTCCATGACCCCATCACAGTGGGAGGCGCGGGCCTGGGTGCCTCAGAGTCCTAGTCAGTGCCCTGCCCCCAGACCTCACCTGGCCTTGATGTCTTGCTGGCAAACAGGAAGTAGAATTGTCAAATCTGCTTTCAAAGCAGTTACTCCAGTATTTTCTGATGCCTGTTCTTGGTGCCTCCACTAGAAACACTTTCAAGTGTTTCCTTGTCCTTTTCCTCCGTAGACTGCAGGCTGCTGTGGGATTACGTCTATCAGTTGCTGTCTGACAGCCGGTACGAAAACTTCATCCGATGGGAGGACAAAGAATCCAAAATATTCCGGATAGTGGATCCCAACGGACTGGCTCGACTGTGGGGGAACCATAAGGTAAAGGGCGCCCCATGTCTGCTTTGTAAACCGGGTCCCGGGCCAGTCTCCTCCAGGGCGGGAGGATGATCGTCCACCTCCCTGAGTGCGCCCAGAATCACTTCCTTTATCCCTCAGTGGGCAAAGGTCAGAGCGAAGGGATGGAAAGATGGAGCCGATCTGTTACTCGAGCCGCTGACCCGCACGGGCCTGCTCTGTAGGACTGGGCAGCGCGCGCCCTCACCCACACTCCGGCTCTGGCTCTTGTCCGCCTCTCTTGCCATCAGTTTCTACATATCTGTCTCACACCCGGTCTCTCTCCAGCTCTCCTCCTCTGTCTCGCACTTGCTCTCTTTCCATGAGACTCTCAGCCCGTCTCACTCCTGGTGATCTGTTTCCCTTGGTCCCTGCCTCTTTCCATTTCTCTCCTCCTCGCTCTACTGTCTCCACCCTCTCCCTTCTCTCCACTGCCACTCTCCCCAACACTTCTTTCAAGCTCTACCTCGCCCATCTGTCTCCGCTCGCTCCTCACTCCATTCTCTTCTTCTACGTTGTCCCACCTCTCTCTCAACACTCTCCCCTTCCACTCGATTTCCTCTCTCCTCCTCCCAATCTCCCTCCACGCGCCACCTCTCTCTTCTGTCTCCACTCTCTCTACCAACAGTTTCCACACTGGGGAGATGGACTATAATAAACGATTGTCTTAGTATCAAGAAAAGCTTGTTATCCTTAGGAAAACGGTTCAATGTATAGATATAAAAAGTACCTAAAACAGGCTGGTAAAAGGAGAAGGAACAGGCTCTGTCCCTACCGTGAAGGATTAGTCAGCCTAAAAAGGTGGAAACCCTGCAGTGTAGACCACATGTGTGGGCCCTGAGGACATCAGCCTAGTGAGCTGAGCAGGACAGATACTGCCTGACTCACCTGCACTAGGAATGGCTCATCATGGAGTCAAGGAGGACAGGGCCTGAGAGGAGGGGAGACGGGTTGCTAATCAAGGAGCATAAAGTTCCGTCAAGCAAGGTGAGAAGGCTCGAGAGATCCAGGGCCCCACAAGCCCCTCCAGGTCACACCCACTGTGTCATGCTCTTCAGAGTGTGTGAAGGGTGTGTCTCAGGGCAAGTGTTCTTACCACAGCACCATAGAATTAACTCAGAAGCCAGTTCACACACATGATGAAATAAATCAGTGTTGCCGCTAAAATTGGGGAACCACAAACCTAGACGGGTAGCTGTGGGGCTCGGCCAAGCCCTGCTGGCCCAGCAAAGGAGGCCGTGAGGCAAGGCCGGGCTCCTACATGTACCACCGGGCAGGGGTCACGAGCACACTCCCCGTGGGCTCCCACCCGCTCCGCCCTTGCTTCCACAACAGGAATTTAAACAAAAAAAATTCTTCCTTAAAACGACAATCCAGAAACCTCAGTTTGAGAAAGGTCATTGCAACCAAAAGAAAATTGTCTGTGGGTCAGAAGGTGAAGGATGCCCCACAGATAAGAGGAAGCTGCAGGAAATTCCGTGGGCACCACAGAGAGCAGTCCTGGGAAAAGGAAATGAGGGCTGGGCTCTGAGAGCAGCCAGGAGTGAGCAGGCCGGGGCTCCTGACAAAGGGCGATTCACCTCAGGAGAAACCTTGGCCACGGCTTGTGTCAATGCAGCAGGGTGGGAACGCCGGGCCTGGGCGCCTACAGATTAGCAGGTAGCTTTCCCAGAGTGGCAGGCCCTGCGAGCAGCTGAGAAGCTTTTATTTTAACAGCCCCCCCCCCCACTTTGCCCCCAGTGCCTTTGCTGAGGTTTATTTCATTGTGTCTTTGTGCTTTTTTTTTTCTCTCTTCCTCCTCTGAACAAACAGAACAGAACAAACATGACCTATGAGAAAATGTCCAGAGCCCTGCGCCACTACTACAAACTAAACATTATCAGGAAGGAGCCAGGACAAAGGCTTTTGTTCAGGTAGCACTTCCTTTTTCTCCTTTCCTTCTTTTGGGAGGATATTGTTTGCTTTAAATAAGAGGGAGGAGGGAGACTGTTCAGATCTTTACCTGCCAAGATCCTGAAAACCAGCATTTGGGGCCCAGGTGCTGCTTGATCAGGATTTAAGGGGGAAGTGGTGATATTTCTGCCTGCCCTAGAGCAAAGCCCAATAAAGCCAAATAAATACAGCCTGACTCGCATCTAAAATAATGAAGTGATCATATAGTATTACCGATTATTAAAATTTAGCATAAAGGGAACAACCAGAGGCACCTTGACTCCTGGGTTAGCAAGCCTGGTAACTCGTTTCTGAACCAGCATTTGTCCAACAGCAGAGGTCATGACCCAGGAGTGATTCTGAAATAGATTGTGAGTCCTTCACATTTTTTAAAGGAAATGGAGCAGCTTAGGATAGAGTTGAAGATATCAGGCTGTATCTATCATGTCACCTGAGTTGATTCAAGAAGTTTTTATTTCAGGGGTGTGTGTGTGAGGTGAGCCATGAGGTCAGTGTATGTATGACAGCACCTCATGATCCGGAGCGTCTGGGGGTGCTAGACATTCCTTCCTTAAGAATTCCTCCCATGAGGATTTTTACAGAACTATTGAGTCCCAAGCACGAAGATTAGATCTGTCTCCTCTCCAGCATGGTTTCAGCCATCGAGGGAGAGGGAGAAGTAGGCCTACATGGGTGCTAATCGACATGGAGACACGCAGGAGAGGTTGGGAGAAAATGAGACTGAAGAGAGTTACAGCTGGGACTAGAGATGGATTTGGAACAACCTGTTCACAGGTGCAAAGTGACACTCTGAACACAGGTAGTTACTGGAACAGGTTGTCAGCAGAGAGCCTTCACACTGGGAAGAGATGGTCACGCAGGGGTGGTCAAAACAATAGAAATCTTCAAAAGAAACAGTAGAGGCTATTCAGGAAGTAGAAACAGGAAGTAGTTCAAGACGGTGGCAGAGAAAGGTACAGGTCCCTGGATACAGCCAGGTGTGCAGTGGGCTGCGTCATCTAGGTTTTTGTAAATACCCTATGCTGTTCACACAGTAACAATGTCACAGTACGACGTGTCTCCTAGAACACAGTACGTGACTATGTAGAGACAGTTCCCAGTGAGGCAAGACTGAAAACTGGCTGAACAGGACCTCCATGCAAAGGGTAAAAGGAACACCTGGAGAAAGGTACAGGTAGCAGAGACATGGTCTCTGGGGTTCCCATAGGGCCCCCATACCCTGACCCACAAATGAGAGGTTTATCTCAAATGGGGAGTTTCTTCCTGAGAAAAAAGGGGCTTTGTGCCCAATCCATCAGGAGCCTAAGGGAAGTAGCTCACTCCAGTGCAGCTCTCTGGAGCCTCAAAAACTGGATCAGGGTTCTTGTAAACTGTGTGAAGGTGCTGGCAGCAGCTAGGCAGATAGCACAGGGCTTTAAAGACTTGGGACTTGTACCAGAGATGAGCCTCCAAAACCTGTCTTTGAAAAACAGCAGGGCTGAAGTTCAAAAGACCTGTTGGATTATAGAAATGAGATTCTACTTTTAAAGGGCTCAAACAGACTTATTCACCCAATGACCCAGTACAAAAGCAGGTGCCCTGGATGAAGGTGAAGGAGACCCACTTGCTAACCTTAAGGCATCTGCTGGTGGAGCAGGCACCCATGGAGATATGAGATGCCATTCTTGCAACCTGGCACCAGAGGATGAGCCGCTGCAGACTCTGTACTGACCTGTGGCCTTCACAGCCAGTCCAGGCCACCCGCTCTTGGCACTCCTCCTACAGCCCACACAGAGGACGCCCCTTGAACATGTGGCAAGGGAGGATGGTATTTCTGTGCCCATGTACCTAAAACAAATAGTACAGGGTGCCTTCAACAGTTGAGACCTACCAAGAAAAAAATCAGCTGTGCAGGCAATTACAAAGATTTGAGAGACAACAAAGAGCTAGGACAAGGTTAAAGGATAATGTTCATTTACACAAGGCCAATCCTTCAAGACTAGGAGACAAGGTTGTTTCATCTAGAAATAAACACAGTGTCAGGCAAATGAGGGGACAGGAATTTGTTCCAAATGAAAGAATAAAACCCCCAGGGGGTGGAGGGATGACCTTATTTCAGTAAGTAATTACTTGGTGAAGTCATCAAAGTAAAGATCATAAAAATGCTCACCAAGCTTGGGCAAATAAATGAAGAGAGACAACAAAGAGAAAATAAAAGCACTAAACAAGTTGTAGAACTGAAGAATCAATCACTGAAGTGTACAATGCAGAAGTTCAAGCAGACTAGATGAAGCAGAAGGAATGAGTAATCTGAAAGACAATGCAGTGAAATTATCCAATCAGAGAACCTCAGACAAAATAATTTTTAAAAATGAAGATAGCAATGGAACCCATGGGACAACAGCAAAAGGAGTAATATTCACATTAGTGGGGTTCAGAAGAGCAAAAAGGGGCAGAACTGTGCTTGAAGTAATGCTTGAAAACTTCCCTACCCCTGGAGAAAAACAGAAAGCTCAGACTTTCAAACAAGATGAAGATACCCCATACCACCAACATACATTGTAATCAAATGTTAAAGCTTCAAGATAAAGGGAGACTCTTATTAGCAACAAGAGAAAAACACCTTGTTACATACAAGGGACCGCCCATAAGATCATCACAGATTTTTCTGCAGAAACTTGGTAGGCCAGAAGAAAATAGCATGATATGGGAAGTGCCCAAAGGAGAAAATTTCCAACTAAGAATATTCTACCTGGCAAGATTAACATTCAGAACTGACGGGGAGCTAAAGAGCTTTCCAGACAAAGCAAAAAAGAGTCACCACTACTAAATCAGCCTCCCAAGAAATGTAAAAAGGGCTTCTTTATTTTCATCTTAAAAAACAATAATTAGTAACTAGAAAGCATAGGAAAGTAAAAGTCTCACTGGTAAAGGTAAATTGATAGTAAAGGTAGTGGATTGAAGCTAGTATGAAGGTTAAAGACAAAAGTAGTAAAATTATAACTATGATAAGGAATATGCAAATTAAAGCTGTAAAATGTGACATCAAAACAAAGGGAATAAAATGTAGAATTTCAGAATATGTTCATTATTAACTTGCTGTGAACTAAAATTAGTCTAATATATACGGAATGTTATCTGTGAGCCTCATGGTAACCACAAAGCATAAGATGTAGTAGATACACAAAAGGTAGCGTGAAAGGAACTAAGAATGACACTATAGACGACTGTAGGGGAGAACCATAGGGGAGAAAGTAAGGAAGGAAAAAGTAAAAGCCCAGGGTCAGATGGCTTCACAGGTAAATTCTACCATTCTGGAAAAAACTAATTTCTGTCCTTCTCAAACTATTTCAAAATATGAAAGAGGAGGGAATGTTTCCCAACTCATTTTATGAGGACAACATTATTAGCCTTATGCAAAAACCAGACTAAATAAAGTGAAAATTACAGGTTAGGGAACATATTTGCAAACCAAATTCAACAATACATGGAAAAGATCATGTGCCGTGCTCAAGTGGGATGTCTTCCAGGCAGGCAAGAATGGGTCAACATCTGCAGATTGTCAGTGTGATATCGTATCTCCATTGATGCAGAAAAAAGCATTTGACAAAATTCAGCATCCAGCTATAGAAAATTCTCCAAGTAGGTAGAGAAGGAATCAACATAGTAAAGGCCATATATGACAGCTAACATTATACTCAGTGGTGAAAAATTGAGCTTTTCATCACAGATCAGGAATAAGATAAACATGCTGATTCTTGCCACTTGTATTGGAAGTCCTAGCCAGAGCAGTTAGGCAAGCTAAAGAAGGCATCTAAATTGGAAAGGAAGAAGTCAAATGATCACTATATGCAGACACCATGATTATATATCTACAAAGAGCCTTAAAATCTACAAGAGCCAAAAACTCATTGGAAATAAGCAATGAATTCACTAAAGAGGAGGGTACAAAAAGCTTGTGTGATTTCATACACTAGCGGTGTATAAAAAAGGAGAGGTTAAGAAAATCCCATTTAGTTACATCAAAAGAATAAAATACCTAGAATAAATTTTAGCAAGGAGATATGGCCCAAACACTGAAAATTAGATGACATCAGTTAAATGAAAAGATAATTTGTGCTTATGGATTCAATTTATATTTCTTAAAATGTCCATATTAACCAAAACTATCTGCAGAGTCAGTGCAGTCCCTATCAAAATTACAATGACATTTTTCACAATTGAAACCACAGATTACCCTGGTTAGCCAAAGCAGTCTTGAATTGCTGGAAGCATCATGCTCCCCGACTTCAAAACAAAATTTGAAGCTATAGTAATCAAAACAGATGATATTGACATAAAAACAGACATAGATGAATGGAACAGAACAGAGCCCAGAAATAAACCCACACATACCTGGTCAATTTATCACAGAGTAAGCAAATGTACAATTAGTGCTATTGGGTAAACTAGACAAACACACGCAAAAGAAAAACTAGACTAGTATCTCACAGCATCCACAAAAATTAATTCTAAGTGTATTAGACTTGAAAGAACTGAAGCCATAAAATTCTAGAAGAAAATATATGCAGTAGGCTCCTTGACAGTGCAGTTTTTTCTTTTGGATTTGATCAGTGGGTTATTTGATTTGATTTCTAAGTCTAGAGCAACAAAAGTAACCAATGACATGACATCAACATAAAAAGCATCTGCACAGCAATGGAAACCATCAACAAAATACGAAGGCAACCTACTGAATGGGAGAAGATATTGGCAAATCATGTATCCAATCAGAGGTTAACATCCAAAGTATATAAAGAATTCATACAACTCATTAACCAAAAAAAAAAAAAATCTGAATTAAAAAATGGGTACTGGTCCTAAATAGACATTTTTCCAAAAAAGACATTACAGATGCCCAACAGGTCCATGAAAAGATGTTCAGCATCACCACCAGAGAAATGCAAATCAAGACCACAATGAAATATCACTTCATGCCTGTGCTGATGGCTGTTATCAGAAAGACACGGGATAACAAATGCTGGTGAGGAAGTGGAGAAAAGGGACCCCTTTACACTGGCGGTGGGAATAGAAAATGGTGCAGCCACAATGGAAAACAATATTTGTCCAAAGAGAATGAAACCGGGCCTCCCCGGTGGCGCAGCGGTTGAGCGCTGGGTTGCGAAGCTGCCCGCGGCCTCGGAGGCGCCGGTTCGATCCCCAGCTACTCCCCGGCCACCGGAGGAGGGTCCCGCATGGCGCGCAGACCTCTCCTGCCGCCCGCTGCTCCCCTCAGCAGTGTACTTCGGTCCTTCTGCCTGCTCTGCTCCCTGCTCTGGCTCTGGTGAATTCTCTCACCCTCCCGCACTTCTGACTGTACCCAGTGCATGTATAAACAAAAACAAACAAACAAACAAATAAATAAATAAATAAATAAAACATGCCTCTAAAAAAAAAAAAAAAACAAAGAGAATGAAACCACTAATTCAGAATCACATGTGCCTTTATGTTCATCACAGCATTGTATACAGTAGTCAAAATGTGGAAACAACCTAAGTTTAACCAACGAGTGGATGAAAATAGTGGGACATATATATAATGGAAATCAACTCAGCCATTTAAAAAAAAATGAAATCTTACCATTTGCAATACCGTGGATGGACCTTGAAGACATTATGCTAAGTGATATAAGTTAGGCAAAATATGTATGCTTTCACTTACCTGTGGAATCTAAAAACAAATTCATAGATAAAGAGAACGCTTGGTGGTCATCAGAGAAACGAGATGGGGAAGGGGGAACTTGAGGTACAACTTCCTCTGATTCATGAGTCATGAGGACATAAGGCACAGCATGGGGACAATAGTGGATAAACTTTGTATTACAAATTTGAAAGCCAGTAAGAAAAGATACATAGACATTGTGATCATTTCTCAGTGTATGCAAATGCCAATACATGCTGTTGCACACCTGAAACCATTATAATGTCTGTCAGCTGTCCCTCAATTTTTTTTTTTTAATTTTTTTTTTTTAATTTTTTTTTTTTTTGGTGGGACCCTCGCCGGCCGCCGGGGAACGAACCGGCGCTGCAGAGGCTGCAGGCAGCCTCGCAGTCCAGCGCTCAACCGCTGCACCACCGGGAGAGGCCCTGTCCTTCAATTTTTTAAAAAAGAAATGGAAATAGAGTGGCTTTGGCTCTGTTCCTCCTTCTTCCTAAACTTAGCCCTGGCTTCTGTTCTTCCTGCTTTCCACATTTTTTCTGGATGAACTGACCCCCTGACACAGCTTCACTTATCACCTCAGTGGTTACATTCTTCTCTATATCTAGCTCTAAAATTTCTCCTCAAATCTGACTTTAAAAGCTTTTTATAGGATGTGTCCACTTAATATCACATTAGTAATCTTGAACACATTCATGACAGACCTTTTCTCACATTCTAGAAAGCACCCCGGCCCCTCCCAGAAATCTTATTTTACTCATCAGCAGCATCACCATTGTTTGAAGCAACCAGCCTTGAAATAAGACTTACCTTGGGCTCTTCCCATATGTGGGTCTGTCACTGCTGGGCTGTCCACCGGCTCTTCAGCACCATTCCACTCCATCCTGTGTTGTGGGGGCTAGAAGTCTGGGAACTACATTTCCCAGGATCTCTTAAACAGCATGTTCCAGGGTGGAGGTGACCAGTGAAAGCATTTGTTGGGATTTGAAGGAAGCATTATTCTTTCAAAAACGTTATTACTACTTCCTCTGTGATGGAGGCTGATGTCTAAACTTCTTGGTTCACACTAACATGCTTTCCTACGCCAGAAAGGTATATCCCTTCAGCTTTTGCTTATTTATTTACACACACACCCACACCCCACCCCCCCTTCCAGTCCATCTCAAGCCTACTGTCCTTTTTGAATCCTTCAGTTGCTCAAACACACATAGGTGTTCCTCAGGTCTTGCCACATCATCATTTGTATTTTAAATTTTTTTAAAAAGATTTATTTATGCATCCAAGAGCTGAGGCACAGGCCAGAGATGTGGGGAGTGAAAGGATCCACCAAAGACTGACCCGGGAGCAGAACAAGCAGACTGAGTGAAACACACTGCTGAGGGGAGCAGCAGGCGAGACAGGAGAGGTCTGCTGCGCCATGTGGGCTGCTCCCTGGCCGGCCGGGGATTGAACTCATGCTGCAGAGGCTTTGGACCACCTCATAGCACGGGGCTTAACCCCTTGCGCCACTAGGGAGGCCCATCATTTGTATTTTTAATTGTCTGTATAAGGTCCTCCTCCCCACAGCGAGATGTAAGCTTCTGGAAGGTAGAGGATTAAATTTTATATAACTGTTTTATACCTCATGGTATAAAAATCTTATAGTTGGAGGGTGGCATCAGCTGTGAGGTGTGAAAGTAAAAAGACAGGCCAGGCTGACGAGGGGAGCTCATGCTGGTAAATAGAATTTCCTGGGGAGAGCGGAAAGGAGGCTGAGAGGCAGACAAGGAGCATGTCCTTGACTTGGTAAGTGATCATCACAGGCTTCTGAACAGGGCATGGAAGGGCAAATGTGTGCTTGCAGGCGGAGTGCGTGGGGCAGACGGGCTGCAGGCAGAGGGGGCTGTGGACAGGACAGGCCCGGTAGGGGCAGGATTCTGTTACCCAGGCTGCCCTTCGCAAGCCATGTAAATGGTGGCTGAAACACATCAGGATGTTTTTTCTACGTGACCCCAACAAACCAGAAGACAGGCCTTACTACAAGACCTGACTGCAAGGGATGATCCTAAGGGGACGAACGGCTGGCAGGGAGGTGGATCAGCCATAACCCAGAGAAAGGTTCTTTTTCCTTTGACCTTTCTCATGGCCAGAAGCGCCACTGACTTGCCCTATTGTCACAATTTTCCATTCAGTTTTCATTGTATCCTTTGAGTTCAGATCAAGGTTTGAATGCATTCCCTGGGCTGCGGGCTGAGATGGAAATGGATATGCAGCTCCCAGGAGTCTTTGTAAAATCTCCCTAAAATCAGCAACACAGAGAAGCGACTGTTCTCTGCGTTTGTGGGGTGCTGAGGGTGCTCTTGCTCGTGCTCTGCAGGGCGCCTCTGTCTCCCAGTCAGCCTAGACATTCTTACAGTCATTTCGCCGCTTTTCTGACTGCACTGTTGGCATTCCTGGGGCTCAGTAGCTTTCCCACTAAATGAGGCGGCGGGGCCTTACTTTTTAGGGGGTAGGGCAAAGTAAACACAACTTTAGGAAAATAATCTCTTTGCCCGTCCATTCCCCTTCCAAAGGTTTATGAAAACCCCAGATGAAATAATGAGTGGCCGAACAGACCGTCTGGAACACCTTGAGTCCCAGGAGCTGGACGAGCAAATATACCAAGAAGATGAATGCTGAAAGGAACCAACCCAGCACCTCAAAAGGCTGGCGGAACCCCCGCCCCCGCATGGCGGGAGGCGAGCTGGAGCAGGCGGGCTGAGAAGGAGGAAAGGAAGAGACAGACCCGGGAGCCACACTTCTCCTGCTTCCCAGGAGGGACCCAGAGCACCTTAGACGACCCCCCACCCCACCCCGGCCACGGCGGGGCTGGAATACTGGCCAAGGGCGCGAGCCTGGGACACGCATTTCACGTTTCCTTCTCCTTTGGCATCTGTCCATCTGTAATTTCTCACCCTCACCCTGTCACCTGTTAGTTTCGTGGTGTTTTTTTTTTTTTTCTTAAGGACATGCAGTTTGACTTTTTCATCATTCATACAGGGGAAGACATCAAGGCTGTTTTCCTATGGAAATGTATCTCTCTGATATATATATGCGTATATATATATATATATTTTGCAAATCTCACCGAGTGCGGCAAGCCCAGCTGGTCAGGAAAGGAGATGCTTGCGAGAGGGTTCAGATTCCTCTTTTACCTGCTACGTGGACCAGGTTGGTTCCTTTTGCTGGTGGGTCTTGGCTGAAACAAAAAAAAAAAAAAAAAAAAAGATGCTTTTTAAAAAGATAAAGTGAAACGGAGAGCTCTCTTCTCTCTCTCGCCCTGGTTCCTTCTCTGCCTCCCAGCCGCTGCCCTCCCTCCCACCTGCTGTTGCGTCTGAGATGCCTTCAGCAGAGACATCAGCCTCGTGGAGTCTCGGAAATTGTTGACACCTACAGGGAATCTGTGGCCTGAGTGCTTTGTGGCCAGTGCCCCCAAGTCAACCCCACATCCCCAAAACCCTGGAGATGCTAATGTCTCCCGGAAAGATAAGTGCTAGCCCAGCAGGCTGGGAACCCTGCAGCTTGGTGGTTCCACAGGACGTAAGCCCAGGATCAGAGGGGGTTCCAAGTGACGTGGAAGGCTCCAGCATCTTGGAATTAGCTAAATGAAAAACACAAAAAGACCAGCCAGGCTTGATGGTGCCCAAACTGAGCGAAAAGGCTGCCACGCCGGGATTTATTATCCCAAAGCAGCTTATTGAGGGTGGGGGGTGGAGGGAAGCAGAGGTCTTCTGCTCCGTCCCCAAGACCACCTGTGGTCAGTTTTCCTGCCCTCACTAGTTTTCTTCCCTTGCTAGCCTTTTCCAGGGTTTCCTGGTCCCCTTTAGGACATTAAGGGGAGGGTCTTGATGTTCATTCTGTTGCTACCTGTGTTTACCCAGCTGGGCAGACAAAATTCCTCACATTCCTTTCTCCTCCTCTGCACCTATCCTAGGCCCTTTGTTTCAGAATGGACCCTTTCCTGGCTTTTTCACCTCAACATAAGGTCAATCTTGTCAATGAGGGACGGGCCACTCCTTCCTACTTGTGATGATCACGTGTTTTTAAAGATCTGTCTTAGATTGTTTTCTCCTTCTCCTGCCATCTAAATGGACTCTTTCAACATAGGTTCAGAATCCAGTGTGAGGTGGACAGTCCTTTTTAACCCATAAGCTTGGACCTACCAACCCGAGCACCTCTCGCTTCTCTTTCCGCTGAGTAGTGGGGTGAGCATTCCCAGACCCTCAGACTTGTTCTCCAGCTTTTCCTGAGCTGAGTCAGGCACTTGGGGGTGGGACACACGGGCTAGAGGACCTCTTAACTGAGGAAGACGCCAGGCTGGGGAGGACGGGCCGAGCAGCGTGAGCAGGCTCAAGGGCTCTGGGGCTCTAAGCCGCCTCTCCTCAGACTGCAGGTGACACAGGCAGTGGCCAGCTTCTCTCCCCCCTGGGGCTTGCAGGACTGGACTCCAGGGTGCCGCTATTGCCTCCAAGAGCGTTCACAGCACCCAGCTAAGCATTTTCCACCCTCTGAGATGACGATGTCTCTCAGCTGGCAAGAATAAGCCAAATAGCTGTCTTGTGCTGAAAGCCATTGGGCTCAGGGCTGGAGAGGAAGAGAAGACTTTTCCAGAGGCCTCTTGTGTCGCTCTGGAATCACACCAGAGAGGGCTGGTGCCCCAACCCTAAGGTGAGGACAGCCTTCCCCAGTTAGGACTCAGGACTTAGAGTTTGACGAATCTTGCAGTTGAACTTTGGAGGGAAACCCCTTTTGCCCCAAGGATTTCTACCGATAAAGCAGTCGCTTCTGAGAACATGTAGGACCTAGGATGACACCCTCAGCCAGCTGAAGGGCTGAAAGGTGCTCATGTCAATGACATCTGTTTCCTATCCAGATCCTCCCAGTGATGACTTCCTGTTGATCCCCTTAATAGCAAAAGTCCCCATTTGTTCTCTAAGGAGAAAACCCAAATGGTGTGCACCCCTGGGGTATAGTATTCACACACTGCAGCGCCCAAAGATTTCCTATTCAATTTAGCACCCTCGCATCTGCTGGATACTAGAAGGAATTAGAGAAGAGTCAGACACGATCACTACCCTCTGACGGGCTGATCTTCTGCCCACAGAATCTGTCTGGCATGAAATTGCTCGTTTCAACACTAAGTACTAGGGGTAATGAAAATTTTGCCTGGGACCAAATTCAAAGCACACCTATGATCTGAATCAGTGGGCTTTTCCTGTCCTTATGGAATTTTTGCCTGGCAACATCAGAAACTAGAAAGGGAAAATGCAGGTCAGACAGCACAGGGAAGAGCCTCCTTCAGCTGTGCAGGGACAGAAGTTCTCACTGTTGTCTTGAAATTCTCTAGCCTCTTTCCTCCTGCCCCTTGAGTTCACCTGGCTGCCTCCTCCCCATGAGGAGCAAGCAGTGGCGACTGGCTGGACTGACTTTGAGGAAGTAATGCCGTCCCCAAGACAGTCCAAAGTCCATCCCCAAGACAGTCCCGAGACCTCTTGATCCCCAGCAACTTGGTCTTTTGCCTAAGGCAGCATTATGAATGCTGCAGATTCTTTTGGGTGTGGGGGGTCCCTCAGGAAAAGAAAAACAATTGGATTTTCTCCTTTTGACACTGTGTGGCATCCTCAGATCCATTGTCTTTTTACACTGACATCTTGTCCAAATGAGACTGTAGATTCAGCTGAAATGTAAATGACTATGATATTTGGGATTCCCCTAAGTGACTGATTAACCACCATTTCCACCTTTCACTGCCTGGTATTGAATTCTGAATACATTTTGGAAACATTAACTCGCTTGTGCAGAAGGGAAACCTGAGTATCGGAGACTTTAACGTGGCTGACAGCACGTCAGGGACTGTATTCAGTCCCACCATGCCCCCATTAGACCCTTCCCCATCCCGGAAGCTGGAGATAAAAAGTCTGGGAAAATACACCAAGAACAAAGGGCACTTGTCGTTGTCCAAGCATTTGGTGCTAGTTCTCACCCCAGCCTGCTTTTGGGAGCAAAAACCTGCAATGGAGGGAGGGAGAAAGGAAGCCAGTGGGGCAGAGGGAGGGGACACTAATCCCTGCCTGTCTAAAAACCACAGAAAACTAACCTGATACTCTTCTGGCCCCATCTGCATCAACACTAAACAACAAACTCCCTGAATCTTTCACACATGCCAAGTGAGCATTCTTGAAAATTTGTTTTTGTCAACCACCTGCAAATGGGAACGAATCTAGAATTCTTTTTTTTTCTTTTTTGGTTTAATTTCTAATCTCTTGTTTATGAGGTGTGGGGTTTATAAGGGACTGAATCAAATGAATGTAACAAAAAAGAAAAAAACAAAAAAAAAATGCCTTTTCTCAGGGCCAGTGAGTTGCAAATAATTTTTAAAAGAAAGCCTATAATTGCATCATCTCAATAAATTTTTTATTAAAAAAATCCACGTCTGTGTTTTTAATACCATGAAATGAAACCCAGCAGGCAAGGTGTACTGGTCTCCACTCAATTCAGCTATAAAGTACAATAGTCTGGCCTTCTCACTGACAAGAAGCTCCCTTTCCAGAATAATCTGCAAATCATGTTTAACAGCACAGTTCAAATCCAAGCAGTTGCCATAGGTGGCGGAATTTTCCAGAAGGCACATCCATCAGAGTGGCTTAGATCCGCTGCTGTGCTGAGGGGTTACCAGTTCCCTGAGACTGAGGCGATTTCAGAGTGAAAGGACTTTAGAATCTCCCTCCAGCAATTAATAAGGTCAATGCTTCTCAATTCTCCCGAGGCCATAGGTCTGAACCGACCAATAGGGGCATATGATACCCAGGGCTGCAGGGGCCAAGAAGAACACCTCTGGCTCCAAGCCAACCCTGTGCTCAGTCACGCTAGAGGTCAAGGGCACACACCCCACAGTAGACCAGAACTGTCAATCATCAGGCAGGCAGAAACTAAACAAAGGATGGAAAATGAAGCAAATGTCAGTGCTTGTGAGGGACTTGGTCGTAGGTTTGGGAAACAGAACTTTGAACTCAGAGAATGTCGCGAGATTATTTCGTCTCAGGCACTTCTGTGTGGGTTGCTGAAAGTTGGCCCCAGATGCCACATTAGAATGCAGTATCGAGAGCCTAGCTAGTGCCCGTGGTGCTAAAAAGGCATCTGAAGCTACTGTTTTTATGGCATTAGCATCACCTGGCAGTAGAAACTCATCAGTTCCTACCCCATGAACTGAATCCAAGAGATTGCACAGCGGGGCTAGGATCTGAATGAACAATCTGGCCAGGTGGTCCTGATTTGCCCTAAAGCTGGGGAACCGCCGCTACCAGTGTCTTCTTGGTATCAAAAAGAGCACTTGGCATTTAAATACTCAGGTACAGACCAAGGGATCACAACTAAATTGCATTAATACACGATGCTGCATTTTTCACAATACTGCACAGACTGAAGCTGAAAGGACACAGTATTGCCAACCACTCCTGCTCCCTTCAAGCCTTTAAAGCAGTCAGTTTGCTATACAAGGAGCTGTTTCACAGTGAAATCTAACAACCGACCTGTCCTTGCAAACCAGAGCACAGCAATTTATCCATTTACCGGCCTAACCAGCCTAACCTAAAAGCAAAGTGAAAGGATCACTCTGATCCACTGGCTGACCTTGGCCATCTGTGCCTGGGGTCACCTCTCAGCTGGAGTATTCACAGGCGACCTTGGAACCACTGAATTAGATCTCTGCTTATCAAACATGAAATCACTTGCAAATCACCTGGGGATCTTGGTAAAAAGATTTTGTCAGTGATAACAACTTGGGCAGTATAGACAGATTGCTGCTACCCAAATCTTGAGGGAGGCTGCTGATGGGACATGTCTAAAAGCTCCCCATGGGCCTCCCTGGTGGCACTAGGGGTTAAGCACAGCACTATGAAGCTATCTGTAGCCTCTGCTGCACGAGTTCAATCCCCGGCCAGGGAGCTACCCACATGGCACGGTTGGCCTGCTGCTCCCCTCAGCAGCGTATTTCATCAGTCTGCCTGTTCTGTTCCCCACTCTGTCTCTGGTGAGTCCTCTCACACACACACCCCCCCCCCGCACCTCTGGCCTGTACCCCAGTTCTTGTATGCACAAATAAATAAATCTTTAACAAAAATAAAAAATAAAAGCTCCCCAGGGAGCCGACTTGGCCAGAACTGAGGCCAGGCCCAGTGTCAGAGGCTCTCCCTCCAAGCCCTGCCATCCAACCCTACTGCAAACCAGAGCCAGCCTCTCTTGCTTCATGCCTTTGTCACTTCCTTCCTAGAATAGTCCCCGGGGCCAATCCTGCTCTGCAAGAAGTGTGTTTGTTCTCTTGTCAGGGTTGCAACCAGAGAAAACACCGCCATCAAAAGCCTCTTCTCCAGGTGAGGAAGCTTAGTGCAGGCACTGCCAACCAGATGCCACGTGGTCACCTTCCTTGCGGGAGGGACTGAGTTCCTGGGGCCACTGCCTCTCCCTCAGCCTCTGGAAAGACCAACCTGGATCCCTGTCAGCAGATAGGAAGCCAGAGGTGCCTTTTTTGACATTCTGAAAGGCAACAGAGCAGATGAACATATCTTCCTACCAAACCACCCAAGATGTTGACATTGAAAGCAGACAATCTAGGCGCAGAGTCCCACTATCTATACTCAGAGATGCACTTCTTTTTTTAAGCCTTCAGCCCTTGTAGATCAAAATGGGAGAACTGTCAGTAAAAACCACTGAGTAAAATCAACCTAATTTCTGGGCAGAAGACTTCGCTCTCCCAAGCCCTCTCAGCAACACTGTCCTGGGGTCCCCCTGAGGCTCGCTGTGCATGTCCCCTCGAGCAGAGTTTTGATCATGAGATGCCAAATCGGACCAGCCATCGAATTCTGCTTCCTCTGATCCCAGTAATGCCCCCTCTGTGGTGTCCCCTGTGAAAGCAACTACCAGCCTCAAGGCAGTAACCTGCTCGCACCTCTGTGTCCACTTTGCTAGCCTCCTGGGAGAGTGTTTGGTGCACTTTTGTACAACCAGCCCCTGCACGCTGCCTGTGTCCATAAGTGTTGTGAATGAAGGAGTGAAGTCAGAGAAAAGCTTTGTGACCCAAATTAAATATAAAAAACTATGAAATATAAGAAAAAAATCTCTGTGACCCTGCATTAAGGATTTCTTAGGTATGAGATCAAAAGCACAATCTATAGGGACAAAATTAGATCTCATCAAAATTAAAACTTACTCTTTACACAACGCCATTAAGAAAATGAAAAGGCAAGCTGTGGACTGAGAAGCGTGACTCTTAAGTGCAAAATAAGAAATATATTGCATGCACAGAATAGATCTTCACATTTTTACTTTAAAGCCTGCTCAAAAGACAGTTATGGTTCCATTCATAAATAGGTAGTGTTAGTGGCTCACACATCAAAGATAGAGATATTACATGTCTATGTAATGAAACCATCTTCAAATGTGTTAAAATTATTTCTTCTGTCATGTTGGCAAAACATGACATATTCATATTTCTCCTTCCCTTTCCTTTTGTGAATTTCTGAATGAGCAGCCTCTTGGGAGTCCCCGTAAAAGGTTTCAAAATGAGATAAGAAGAGAAATCACTCATTCCTGGTAAACAGCAGCACTCATGGAGTCATTTGGTCTTTGAAATTCAGCCTCTGGCATCTCTAGGCAAAGCAGCTTTGTAGACACCGGGTCACTAGCCAGGGGACCAGCATCAATGTGACCTGCTGTGTCGGGAGCAAGACCATCACGAAGGGGACAGGGCAGAATCCACAGAGGTACTGGTTTTGTCCACCTGAAGATTCTGTCCACTTGGGCTACAGTGTCCAGGTTTATGTTGCCCAGATCATCAGGAATCCCAGCTACAAACTCAAGTTTCCTATTATTCCATTCTGGTTTCATGCCCCTTACAGAGATAGATGTCTGACCCAGCATGGTGGGTAGGCAGGCGCAATCCTAGTCAGCTCCCTGGCTCCAAATCCCACAGCTCATCTCATGTTTTCTGTGACCACAGCCACTGACTTGACCTCCCTGTGCCTCAGTTTCCTCAAATGTGAAAAAGGGATAACCATCCGAGTACCTGTCTTAGAAAGATGGTTGTGAAGAGTAAATGAGTGATTGCAGAGAAAGGCCTTAGAAAACAGCATGCAGTCTTCAACAGGAACTGTTGGTGTTTTCATACTTTATTCTGGACCTACTGAGCCACCAACTGTGGCTTCACCCAGAGTATCTTTGCTTTGATCTATTCTATACATTGGGATTCCCCCAAAAGATACCTTCTAAAAGAAGTTTCCACTGCTTTGGTTTTGTTTGAACACCATGGAACAAGCACAAACCCATCACCACAGATGAGGGGCTACCCCAGCCTGCACCCTATGATTGTCTGAGCCGGGGCCCCAGCCCAGCATCCCCCTAGGCTGAGTTCTCATCCTCCAGGAGCACCTGGGTACTCGGTGATGTTTACTTGTGGCAATGGACTCAACCCAAAGGAAATATTGGCTCACCTCCCTCAAATGTACTGAGACTATTTTGATCTGGTTGTGTTCCAGTTCAATAGCTTTAGGAAATGTGTAGGTTTCGTTCTATTTTAAATGGTTAGTGAGGTTCCTTGATGTTGTTTTCTCATCCTGTTAAGGAAGTCCTGGCTCAGCTTGTATGTGTTTGGGTTCAGTTCAGAGATGGGAAATTTGAATGTTACTTTTTGAAAAGAACTTTGAACATGAAGGAGCCACATCACAAAGCCCTGGGCACTTGGCTGTTGGGGACACAGAAGGTCCAGCCCAAGACACACCTGCTTGGCCTGCTTGCTGCAGGATGCCTGATTCTGTTAAAAAAGTGAAAAGTATCCATGACCAGGTTGAGAATCTCCTCTTTCCAATATGGGGATGAATCTTCATGTGAAAGAAAAGGAATGGCAGCCCTACTGGCTTCTATTCCCCTCTAACCACTACTCAAGCAATTCACTGAAGGTTTGAGCTTCAGTTTCTGGAGAATTTTATTCTGCAAAGCATCACTGTGATGATTGAATGGAGTTGTGTATCAAGCCTAGCACAGACATTAGAGTTCCCTTTCCTCTCTCCAGCCTGACAAACCCTCAACCAACCACAACCAACACACACACATACACACACACACACACACACACACACACTCTGCCCTTCCAACACTACATTTCTATCATTCTGATTCTACAGAATTGCATGTGGGAAAATCAAGGACAATAGCTGGAAGAGGTGAGACTTTCGTTTACAACCAACTGAAAACTGAAATGCCACTTTACCATCTCAAGACAAAACCCATAGTCACGATCTTGACCAAAATAGATTGCACCTTGCAACACAACCTGAGCAGTTAGACATCTCTCCTCTGCCAACCTCCCAAAGGAGGAGGTAAGCTCCCTCCTCTCCAGCTTCTTCCTCTGAGTGAAAGTCTGCATGGGCTATTTG